GTGTTGTTCTCCGTGCCTCCTTCAGGATGGCGCAAACCGCGAGGTGGACAGCACATGACTTGGCAAAAAGGCGTGAAAGAGATCACGAAGAGTTTGGGTGTTGTTGGTGTGGTGAGACTTCCAGGATGGGGTCCCCGTGACCCCGTCTGTGCTTGGCTGGAGACGTTGCAAGGAATAGCGGCTAATCGATGTCAGTGGCGTCCGTGCTGTCAGTTTCTTTCCAGATTGTCTGATTGAGCGTTTGGAGGTGTAGGCACCTCACTGAACACGCCACTTACAATCAAGGCAGAGGTATTGGAAGTTGTGGAGCGTCTAACGTATCTTGGACGTTGTATTAGTTCTGACTGTAGTGTGACAGATGAGGTGAATGCACGAATCTGCAAGGCTCGGGCCGCGTTTTTTTTATTTTGAGACACCAATTGTGTCAGAATGGTTTATCCGTGAATCTCAAGGGACGTGTGTATCGAGACACATTGCGGGTTCGTTTGTTGCATGGCTGTGAGACTTTGCTTGTTCGAGCAGCGGAACTGAGACGTCTTCAGGTGTTCGTGTAGTAACGGTATTTTTCTCAGTTTAGTTCTCGGTCTGAGCCTCCCAAGCTAGTGTTCACGTCAAAAACAACTATGAAGGGTGCACAAGGTATAATAACGCCCAAAACGAAGTCAGGAACACTCGTACAGCACTTCATATATACAGCATGGGCGGCTATAAATCCATGGAAATTCTGACGCGTTCTGGATGCGTCATTGGCAACCGGCATTCGACCAATACTGGGTCATGATTGACTGTTGGGTCCAGACTTTCGACCAATCAGATCTCGGATTGATACCGGACCGGCAAGCGTCCCGAATTCTTGGCCAATCTTGCGTGGGATGGACACTGGGCCGTAGCAGCACCTGAGTGCGAGCGGTAAAGCGGGATCCATGTGGGATTCCTCACAGTAACACCCTCTTGAAAATTGTTGACGTGGCTTCGAAGCCGAGGTTTCACATTCAGTGGCGCAACTGGATTGCTGATCCTGTCTGTCCAGCGGCGTGGTTGTATTCCGTGCTCAGTTCGAACCTCGGACGAAGCAACTGATTGATTTCTGGATGGCACCGAGATCAAAAGTGTCATGAGGCATTTCTAGACTTAACTTACTGGGTCCTGTGGACAGGGTCTGCGTATCTGTCGGCCGAATTCGGTACATGTGGCGTATTCACTTGGCTGTGTCAACTTGAATCTCGTAGAGCACTGCCGCGCCGGTGAAGGATGAGTCCTGGAGTTCATATAAAGTGTCTGTCACTGTTGTCACAAACCAACACGCTCTGGCCTTCGCTGAATGAGTGCGCGGGTGCTCCATGATGTCGGTTGAACTGTTCTTCCATTCTGGTGTTACGGCGACTAGCTATGCCTTTTTTGTGACCGGATAGTATCGTGCGGAGTTCGAAGCCTTCTTCGGAGCAGTCCCTCTGCTGGTGACACTCCATCGGGTGAGAAGGGATTCAGCGTCGCTCGATATGCCAGCAGGAACCTTTACAAAATCTCTTCCGTTGGTCCCTCCCCTCGGGATTTCCGAAGCGTTCCGCTTGGCCGTTCGACTGTGGGTGAAACGGCGGCGAGCGGACATGCGTTGTGCCATACTCCCGACAAAAGTTTACGGATGCCCATGAAGTGCACTGGCTGTCGTTGTATGATAAAACTGTTTCTGGTGTTCCAAAGCGACTGAACAATCGTCGGAGTTCCAGGACTGTAGTGGCAGCTGGGTAATTGTTCACTGGGAGAAGTTCCAAACATTTGCTGTAAGCATCGAACACAACCAAAATGTGTTGACCAACCCTGGACCTGCACAATCGATGTGAAGGCGGGTCTAGGATTCGACCGGCTGCGGCCACGACTGTAGGTAGGTTTTCATGGGTGACTTGGATGCCTCAGCGCACCGCAAGGACGATTTTGAGACCTGCTCGATCTGGGAGTCCACCTAAGGCCAGTAGAGGTAACTCTGAGCAAGGGCCTTCATCCCTTTTGTTCCCGAGTACCCTTTATGAAGCCGGTTCAGGACAGCTAGTCGTAACTTCTTTGGGATGACAACACGTTCTGGAAACAGAATGCATCCGTCAGCTAGTGAGAGTGCATCACACCGGTAGAAGTAAGGCCTCAGTTCGTCTTTTGAGCAGGCACGCGGCCATTGATTGCGGTGGTACTCAATGACTTGCTGCAGCACAGGATTCTGGTCTGTAGCCCGTCGGCAGTCACTGGGGGTATGCGAATCGCTCATGATACTACGTGGTTAACCTCCGGTTCCAATGCAATCGTTGCGACGACGGTGTCTCCAGGTTCCGATCTACTTGGATCAATGAGTCGGGACAGTGCGTTGGCTTGTCCGAGGCTACAGGTGGACTGGAACTTGATCCTGAAGTCGTATCCCAGGAGCAGACTGGCCCATCTATCTGGCTGTAGTTGCGCTCGGCTGAGGTCAGGGATCTGGCTGCATGTGCGGTGGCTTTCTGGTTGCCGTTGAGATCAACAAATGAAGTCACTGCGCCGGTTCCATAGTTCGAGGCATTCGACGCCACAGCGTCAGAGGTGGATCATAGTGCATGAGTAGCAAATCGGATGTCAGCATGGAGTTGACAGGGGAAAGTGCACGTTGGCATTCATCTGACCATATGCAGATGCGGTCCTTGGTAAGTACCTGGTTTATTAGGGCTCGAAGGGGATACATAACAGGCAAAAAGGAACTGTAGTGGCTGACGAGACCGAGGTATGACCTGAGAGACGTCACGTCTGTGGGCGCTGGCACATGTTTGATGGCTTCGATGTCCTCCGGGTCTGGGTGGCGGCCATCTTCAACGATAAACAAAAGGTACTTTACCGACCGCGTGATGCTCTGGTGTACCGAGTTTTCGCAGCAGTAGTCTGATTTTCATCCATCACCAAACCTGGAATAATCAGTCTTAAACATGTCTTCGTAGCACTTGAAACGGGAGTCAAAAAAGTGACCAGAAAGACATAACAGGCAGGAACTGTAGTGGCTGACGAGACCGAGGTATGACCTGAGGGACGTCAAGTCTGTGGGCACTGGCATGTTTGATGGCTTCGATGTTCTCCGGGCCTAGGGGGCGGCCATGTTCATCGATGAACAAAAGGTACTTTACCGCCCGGGTGATGCTCCGGTGTGCCGAGTTTTCGCAGCAGTAGTCTGATTTTCATCCATCACCAAACCTGGAATAATCAGTCTTAAACATGTCTTCGTAGCACTTGAAACGGGAGTCAAAAAAGTGACCAGAAAGAGGGTGGAATATGAACTCCGCAATTATGGCCGCGGCTGCATCAGTTGAGGAAAAAAACATTCACCAGTACTGACTGATTCGGTATTGATACGCAGTTTCTGAGTCAGCGATTCAATGAGTATCAGTTGTGCTTCTTCAAACTGCTTTCGTTGCTGCTGGAATAGTTCTCAGAGCGATCAAATTCGATGGGAATCTTGGGTTCCCATTCGCCAATTGCGGTAACGGTATTCCTCTCAGCATAGTTCACGGATTCACGGATTGATACACAGCATCGAGGCTTTTGCCCAAGTTTCCCGGGTCGCTTTTGTTTTTGTCGGTCTGTGGCTGTCGTTCACCTGAAAAGCACAAGTGAAAAAAGGGTGTAGCACTGCTCTTTATGTCCTCAGCGCGGGGCAGTATGCTTGCCAGCGCGAGGATTCGCATAAATAAATGTCCAATAGTGCTTTAGACTGGGTTCTAGAAGGAGCGTGGACAACCGTCGGAGGGAGGTCATTCAACGCAGCTACTACCCGAAATGAGAAAAAAATTTGTCTAATGAATATGTGTGCTCTGAGCTTGAAAGTCTTCTTACTATGTCCCCGCCGTGTGTTTGCTGGGTCAACGGTGAAAAACCTGTTTGCCAAGCTTTGTGCAAACAGGGCGACCGTACTCCAGCGGAAAGAGATCAAGCATCGCGAGTAGCGTTTCGTAGTCCACGGATTTGAGGCCGGCAACCATCCTCGTAGCGGCTCACTGGACACGCTGAATGAGGGTGACGTCTTTCGTGCGTCCTGAGTAGACAACTTGGTTGGCGTATTCCAGGATCGGTCTGACATAGGCCCCATAGAGTATTTGGAAGTCCATGCGAGTGATACGGGAGAAGGTGCGTCGGATCATCCGTAGAGTGGCGAATGCCTTTTGGGCCGATCTCTCATGGTGCAGTGAGAAGGACAAGTTTGAGGAGACTCAGATGCCCAAATCCTTTTTGGCATCTGTCCTCATGATGTTTTCTGGTTCTTTCTCACCATGCATAACAAAGGCATTCGCTGAGTCTCCTCCAAACGACATGTGGATGCACTTTTTGTCATTCAGAGGAAGGTGCCAGTCCAAAGACCACTGCTTGGCAGCGTCTACATCCATTTTGAGGGCACTGGCATTGGAACTCCAGGATTTCAAGTCGTCCGCAAAAAGTAGACATGGACTCGCAAGAACATCTGGGAGGTCGTTGATGTAGATCAGAATCAGGAGTGGTCCCAAGACGGAGCCTTGAGGAACTCCAATGGAGACCGGCGCTGGAGAAGAGTAGGTCGAGCCTATTCTCACTCGGAATGA